TGTCAGTTTACGATTCGAACAAAGATCGTGTGTCTGGGGTTTACCAACAGGCTCAGGTCGAGAACGCGTAGCCGGGTGCATTTGCTCAGGCTAGCCCAGCAGTTGATTGCAAAGCTAGCTTGAGGTGCTACGAAGACTTCAAGAGATAATCTCGTTCGGCCTAGCAATCTAGCTGTTGTCGATTTGGCGCCTTGATGTACGATGTGGGATAAGTCCAGCGACTTTACTAGACTTGACAATGCTGTGGGCTTGTGATAGGTTAGCATGTATCACCAACTACTCGGAATATCCTTACCTTGATGCGGGCTAGCACAGAAGGACATATCGTTCGTACAAAGAGATCGTACGCACTTCCTGATAGATATGGTGATTCGTATAGTGGTTGAACTGCTATCTATGCATCGAACAGCCAAATTAGTCACAATACGTTTGATGGCCCGTAGCATGGCATTCACATACATCATACCACTGTCTACTGATGTAAGCTCATGTGACCAGGATCCTCAATGCGACACATTACCTATTGACAGCGGAAAAGCGTGCAAGCGCGGTTTGCCTCTCGATCTCGCCCCACGATGCAAAGTACGCCAGGATCTCAAGCAGCAGTTCGTTCGGGAGATAGTTGGCATAACTGGAAGAGGAAGTAGACATGATTAGTGTGGCTGCATGTGAGCATGCGTACATGCATTTGGACTCGTGAAGAGGTCATCACACAAGCGCGTGCGCGCAGAGATGGCGACATGACGCACTAGCGCGACTGGTGTTTTGGGCTATCACCGAGTAACACCGAGACACAGCTCACGCTCAACCCCGCACTCACCAATCAAGACCCTCACACACGCGTTTACGGAAACACCCGCCCCTTAGAGCTGAACTCGGTGCCTAGGATCTGTCGGTCCTACTAAAACCTAAATCCCTATTGACAGGACCCATGGCGGTTAATGTGAAACATGCGACACGCATCACTATATACACACGCGATGAGAACAAAGGTTGTGATTCCCCGCATCTATTCACAAGGACCCATTTCACATTCCTTACTCTGTCTCTCTTTGCATTTCACAGTTTCATAGATCTTTGATACCAAATATAATCCCTACGATACAACGCCCTCCCTTCTTCTTACAACCACACAAGTCTTGGTCCCTCTGTATTACTACACAACTCCATACCTTCATTATCAGCAGCAATGAACACTTTACTCATCGCGTTAGCGACTATAGGACAAGTAGCCGCGGGTCGGCTCCTCGTCGCATCATATGGAAATGACACTTCTCCTGGCGCTATCCAGACTCTCGAACTACCACCTAGCACAAACGAAAACACTAGCCAAACGATGAAGGTTACTCATGAGAGCTATGAGTGTGGGAAGTTACCCACATGGCTCGATGCTTCCCTTGGTCGTGAAAGGATAGTGTGTCTAGACGAAGTAGAAATTGGTGCCAACCTTACAATGTTGAGCGTTGGTGCTGATGGCAGCCTCAGCAAGATTTCGAGCAGCCCGGTTTTGGGAGGAGCGGTGTCTTCGATATCCTACAACAACGGAACGGCGCTTGCCCTTGCCCATGTACGTACAACCCTCTCTTTCTAATCCTTGATGAACATGTACTAACAATCCAAATAGTATGGCCCCCAGGCAGCAATCTCACTCTTCACCATCGACGGAAGCAACAAGTTCTCATCCCTACAGAACTTCACCTTCGAGAAGCCTGAACAGATCCACCAGGCTGTCCTCGACCCCACAGGCCAATTCATGATCTTCCCTAGTCTCGGTGCCAATCTAGTCCACGTATATTGTATCGATCCCGCAAGCCACCAGCTCACCGAACACGAGCCACTCAAATCAAAGCCGGAATACGGTCCTCGGCATGCAGTTTTCTGGACAAGCCCCGATTCTAAGACCACATACCTCTTTGTCGTCCACGAGAAAAGCAACAAGATCATCAGCTACAAAGTGGACTACCCTGAGTGCGGCGGCCTGGAATTCACCGAGGTCGACGAGGTCAGCACATATGGCAACACTACGCTCCCGCCAGTGTCATATGCCTCGGAGATGATATTGTCACCCGACAACAAGTTCCTCGTTGCGGCGAATCGTAACGGCACGGTGTTCAAAGTAGACAATCCCGACCCAAAGAACAGCACCCAGGTTCCAAGTGACTCACTTGCAACATTCAAGCCCACAGCGGACGGAAGGTTGTCGTTTGTCCAACTCGCCAAATCAGGCGGATACTACCCTCGCCACTTCAACATGAATAAGGACGGATCCATGATTGCGATTGCGAACCAATTTAGCAAGAACGTTGCTGTCTATAGCCGAAATCTAGAAACGGGAAGGATCGAAGACAGCAAACCGGTGGCTACGGCTGAGGTCCTTGGGTCCGGCGGTTTGATGTTTGTGCAGTGGTTGGAGCAGCAGTAGGTTGGGTGTGAAAGTCTATTAACAGACGACTCATGCGCACGGTTCTGATGATGTATCCCAGAAGGTTGGAATGAAGTCTTGTTATGAGACACTCCAAGAGCATCATCATATCTGCAATGACAATACATGTACATAATTCAATATCACGGAGCATCTGCTGAAGATGCCCACTTTTCCTGCGCGACAGCCCACGCTACAGCGTCCCAAACATCGCTCACGATCTTGCGCGGCTCAGGCGACGGTGTTGTACCCTTCTTGTAGACACCTGTTTCCACTAACACACTAGCCCAATCTGTACCATGCGGACTCTGGTAGTTGTTACCGCCAGCAATGTCACTGGCGGGATTGTCACCGACCATGTACACGCGCTTCAGATGGCCCAGCGGACTACCATAGTTTTGCATCAAATGATGCCGATGCGCTATCAGACGCTTCTCAGCGAACTCGTACGTAGGTCGGTGTGGTTTGCCCATTACGACTTTCTGCAGCTTAACACCTTGTGTCTGTCCGCCAGTTATCGCAGCCCAGATACCCTCGAAAGCTTCGCGAAAGCCGCCCTGACCGAGACGTGGTAGGTGATATTTTGCCGCCCATAGCAGGTCTGGGTTTGAGAAGTATAGTGGGGGCTGTCCATCTTGTTGGTAGCCACGGTTCTCCAGAGCTGGATTGCCGTTCTTCTGTGACAAAGTTCCAACGATGCCATGCTCTGATAACAAGACATCCTTGATGATCTGCGCGTCCAACCCCCAGTCTCGAGGATCGTTGTATACAAAGACTGCATCGATACGGAGCGATCTAGATGGCGAATCAACGTCGATAGGGACGGGTAGCGGTCGAGTAAAGGTCTTGTAGTAGGACAGTAGTTGCTGCGAGAATGGCCATACGTCCGGGTGAGCAACCATGATGTCGCCAGGTATAACTACATTCTTGAAACTATGCAACCTGTTAGAATGTTGCAGCCCCATGTAATGTCGTTCCGTCATACCCGTATGCCTCAGCGACCTTCCTGCATTTATCCTCCACACCACCCACCACCATGACCGTCTTGTCCTTGAGGTCGTCCATGTCGGCGAAGGGGGTATGGCTTTGAACGAACATGGATGTATCGATAGACACGTCCAGTTTACTGCTCAACTCGGCCACGCGGTCGGATTCATGTTTGCCGCCGCCATTGGTAAGAAGTATGAAGGGAATGCCCTGTGATTGCAGGTAAGAGAGGGCCTTTTGAGCTCGCGGCAGCGGATCTGAACTTCTTAAGAGCACTCCATCGATACTGACAGCCGTCAGCTGCTGTGTTGAGAAGCTGATGGTGTGCAGGCCTTACTCAAAAGCGAAAGCAAACTCCGGGGCACGGACCGAGGGAGCAGCGGCCGTCTGGAATGCGCGGCGTAAAGGCAGGCCGTAGCTGCAGCGAGCAAGTAGCCTCATCGCGTACATCGTCATTGGTGGACTGCGAATTGCTCGTGATAATGTGATGTCTTGGAAGGTAACCCTGCAGCAGCATGCCCGTCGGGAAATTATTAGTCATCGTCGCGTTACCCACCGTTGCGTCACAACAATCTCATTACCATCTTGATACTACACATGAGCCCTGAGCTTCGCATATATTCTATAATTTGGACACCAAGTACCAAATAGTTGGTTCGGAACTCAGTGGCAGCTTGTCCGATTATCATAGCCGACTCCTCTGCGCGCAGGCACGCTGACGTCTACGGAATGGCAGCGTATACAACTCGGAGCAAACCATCACTCTACCATTCGCTCGATCGACAATGTTACCGCCAGTCTTCTCGATTCGGAAGCCATGCATATGTAAGGATTTCGCTTGCCGTCCGGAAGCACCGGAGACATATGACCTTGAGTGCTCGTACACCGGTACCTTTACATAGCTCATTGAGTCTCTAAATCACGTTTATTATCCACCTCATCACGCTGCTTCTCTTTGAAGACTTTAGATACCCATTATCTCCTTGACCGAGAGAACATTTGTGACGGTATGCCTGTGTTCGCTCATTCATGGCAACATAACACGTACGCCAGGTTGAGTTTTTGTAGGATGGTTTCTTACTTTGAACTTTGGATTGAGGGCAGTGATCGTTCAGAGAGAGCTTGACGATGTGTACATACTCGCTCGCCTTGTACATCTTCTGTGAGCGCTGGTGACTAATGAGTGACTCAATGTGTCAGCAAAGTTTGTACCGCCGTGCTCGGTTTAGCACGGTATGATATAGTCTCACCGAAATGGCGATGGAGAGGCGTTTGTGTATCACAGATATGGACACCTCTCCACTGATTTGAATATTACCAACAGGAGGAGCTTTACAACACGACCACTGGGTAGCGGCGAAAACGTGAACAAAGCATTGACACATCACGCCGCAATAGTTACTATTCGCATGGAACCATCATTCTATTGTTCACGTTAAAAACCGGAGAGGACTACCTGTACATACACATCTGAAGTCACTGGGAAACAGCCCAGCAAGCCTGTTCAAGTCAGATAGCCCTTCGCGAAAATCTGCCGCATGATGTGGGTTGAAACAAAGCTACGATACAACGGAGTTTAATGACACGTTCATCACCTTCCTCGTAGGCTCCGTACTGAAGGTTTGTGTGAAACACGGTCTTTCACTGCAGTCGTAGCGCCCTTTGCAAGAGGCTCTCGTGAGACAGGGCTGGTGTAAGGCGATTTCTTAGAAGCGCTGCGTAAAGATGCAGGGGTTATGTTTGGTGAAGCATTATCCTCTGAATCCAGTACCTCAGTGCTCGTTTCTCGATTTGGCGTGCTCGGTCGTTGGGAGCGAAGTGCCTTTCTGCTTGACAGTGGTCGAGTAGGCTTCTTGACCTTCTTCAGTGCACCAGGCCTAGTAACCTTCCTTTGAAAGCTGACGGTTGTGTGTCGGGTAGATTTGACGGTAAATGGCTTTGCCGTCCGGAGATTAGCTGCTCTCGTACGTTTATCAAGAGTTCCGGAACTTGATCGCTTTAGAGCGCGGTTTTCGCGGGATGCATTCTGGCGCGACAGCGCATCTGCTTCCCTCTCGACTCGCTCACGAGCAGACTCCAATCGAGCGACAGCATTTTTTGCCTTGGCGCTAGCTGAGTTGCCTGCAAGCATCCTGCGCTTCTTGGGGGAGCTTTGGGTGCTTTCAGAACCAGGCCTTCGAGGACCGAGCAAATCCTGCAGCTTGCGTTTCGTGCCTGTGATGAGCACTGAAGCTATTGACTTCTCTTCAATGGGTTTCTTTGGCTTGGGACCGAGGACCCCACGGCATGATTCAGTGCCACAGCGGCATTCCTGAATGTTCTTTTGGGAAAACGGACTAACGAAGTCAGAACGGTTCAACATATATGTCATGGGACATGACTTACTCAAAATTGTAATCGTAAGTCAGCTCATCGCCAGTCATGATGCCGCGGGGACCGGCGAACAGCGCCATCCGAGGCTCTCCACCCACAGTCCACTTGATCATCTCGCAGTTGGGTTCACACGAGTGATTAACGAATCGAGCAATAGTCCCACGAGTCGCATCAATGATCATTTTGTTGTCGAAGCTCATGAGATAATAGCACTGCAGAGGATTAGCAGAAATCTGTATGCAAGACCTTGACAACGTACCTTGTCTTTCTTGTAGACCTGTTTCATGCGTCGCTCGCATTCAGACTGGGTAATGATCTCTCCAGCATATTCTACGATGATCTGGTGTGGCTCGAACGTTCGCATAGCACGAACACCGAACCCTCGGTCTTTTGTATCGAGAACTTCCACACCATAGTCATAACGGTTGCCTTTTGCACGCTTCTTGAGCTCTGCGAATGGCCGATTGTTACATAGTTCCGGAGGCAGGGGACAGTTGGTATTGTCACATTCATACGCCATGATCCGATTGTGACAGGACTCTCCACAGCCATCTTCTTCATCGCAATAGCATTGGGAGGAGTCTTGCTTGTCGCGTTTCCACAGCGCAGATGCGTCGCCAATGAACCTGTCTGCAAGTCGTTAGCATTGTTGACTGAGTGGGATCATAGTGAGGTTACTTTTGTTGAGTTTGACCCAGCCGTCGACCTTAACCTTTCTGGGTAGAGGGCTGTAAGTATCGAATGGCAACTTGAAATCGCGGAATACATGTTTTGGGTCCTCGTTCAATAGACGTTCGCAGGCAAAAATCGGGAGGGGCAAGATTGTGGCCTGCCATGGTTTCTTGGCCCTCTTCTTCGCGCGGTTCTGGCTTTCTGAGAGACGAGGATCAAAGTCGCGATCCTGGCCAACATACAAACCTTGCTTAAGCCAGACTTTCGACTTGGGCTGCGAGAAGATCTTTCCTTCCTGGTCTTGGCTATCTGCGTCTCCATCCTCAAGGGCATCGCGAGACCGCTTGAGAGAAGCCGCGGGGGAAGCTGATTGGCCGGATTTGAAGGATGGCTCTGAAGTACTGCGCCGTAAAGTGCTTTTAACGAAAGCTTTTCCCCCTGAGTACATGCTTGCGACGGTGTCGCCGACACCGCTTTTGCGGAGGACCTCCTTGCGAAGGTCCGTCACGCGAGAGGAGGTGCGACGTCGTGCTGCCTGGGCGGCTTCGGCAGCCAGCTGATCCTCGACCTGATCGCTGGCATCAGTCATGTCAGACTTCCGCTTCAGCATCTTCTTTCGCATAGGTGTGGCTTTCTCCTTCCTCGCGAGCTCCTCGAGAGAGCCGTGCACGACATTCTTGTGGTGCTTCTCAAGGTATTTGGTCGGCGTATGAATCGCAGTTCCGGCGAGAATCTGCACGTTGTACGTGGTGACGGACTTGCGCGAGCTCCTAGCAGGGCGGCGGGCCTCGTTGTTGACGGCGTCGGGCGTGGTGGTTTGCGCGGACGCTGAGGTCTCGCCGAGCATTTGGAGGCCCGGAGCCTCCTCGTACACTTCGACAGCTTGTTCGATCTTCGTCATCTCGGACATGACGCTGGCTTCGTCGCCGAGGCTGGTAGGTGGCGTCGAGATGGAAGGCGACGCGCTGGACGTGGCGCGAGCATCGCCCTGCTTGTCAGTTCGCACCGTGATGTTCGAGAGCGTAGAGGATGTTGAAGTTGGGGATAGATCGCGCTCGGCCATGACAGCGGACGGGCAAGGCAGGAGCACGCGTCGTGGTCGTGGTCTTGAGGGGTGAGGCACTGACGCGCGAAGGAGGTGGACGCTTTGGGCGGGTCAACGGCGCTCACGAAGCAACACTGCCAAAGTCTGCGCGCGATAGGCAAAGAGCACGCGAAGAAACGTGTACAACTGTCGGTCCGGTTTAGGAGAGTGTGTGGGCATGCATTGGGAGGCGCATCGAGCCAGAGTTGGGAGATAGATGGACGGATGGACGATTTGGGGAGGTAAACACATGCAGCTAGTCAGTCAGCCGATTAGGCCGTCGTGCCCTGTATATCCAATGTTACCAGCACCACCACTCCTCGCATTCCGTCTTATTACCGGCACGTACGGGCCGGGTCTTCGAAACCGAGCCCGCTGCAATGTTATCATGGAATGTACACATAATCAAGGAAGTCACTCATCAGTGCATGCAAACGATCATATGGTGCCGTGCCTGCACTCGTGTATTGTGAAGAAGCTATTACTTAAGATGGGCTAACCACATGATCACGCTGATCAGAAACAGCGTCTCATGCCACAGTCGCGTCTGCAGCGTCACGTCCTGACCTACTGGCTGGGCCCTGGAATGCCCCAGACCCACTAACATCCTGCATCTCCACCCCGCCGCCCTGTTGCTCTGGCACTAGAGGCGCAGTCCGTTTGTCTTTGCGCGAGCCAAACCTTTGGTCGCCCTCCTCGTACTTTCTCTTGAAATGGAGATAGGTCGGTGGGCGTGGTCGCTGTAATACAGCAACCCAGTTTTTTAACGCGGAGCCCTGCGTGAAGGGCCTATGCCGATCCTTTTTGAGGAACTTGTGTGAGTTCAAATATTCACGTGTCGTTTCGCCCCTACCAACCAGGAACAGATGGTATATGCCAAGACTGAAGGGATATGACCACCCGAGGAGTCCGTATATACACATGGCAAAGGGTACACGCCATCGATCGATGGCCTCGCCAAAGGATGCTCCAGTTTGCGCCCGCCAGACTAGTATGTGTGCCAGACTAGCGCCCAGGAGGAAAAGACCTAGCAACGTGGTGGCGCACACGAAGACAAAGAAGTAACGGTAGTTGCGGCGTCCCACGCAATTGTTGAGCCAGACGCAATGGTGATCTTGCGTCTCGATGCAATTGTCACATACACGGCAATGGTGAGCACGTGGAGGTCGCCAGATATTGCAACTCTTGCAATATTTCGTCGGCACCTCCATAGCTGCATTCGTACCGGTTGCGGAGACCACCATGGTCCACTCAGTGGTGGGCGGACCGAGACTGAGCGGATCGTCATTAGGATTAGGAGGGGGGAATGGATGTAGATTTCGGGGAAGTATCTATACGGCGTTAGTAGTGTTCATGACAAAGGAGGTGCATGACATACGCCCGGATCTGAAGCTGAAGCATGAAGGAAAGAGGAGATGGAGACGAGAAGCAAATATGCAAAGAGGATGGGTATCGATGGAGAAACGTTGGTCCATAGCCAAGGGGCCCTATAGTAATAGTTAGCGTGAGGAACAATAGCAGTAGAGGGGAGTCCACGAACGAGAAGCCGAAAAAAAGGCCAGCAGGTAAGATGATGAGGATTGCCGTGGCGACGTTGACTGGACGGTCGCGGGTATTTTGTAATCTACCGCCCCAGCAAAACGCGGTATTGCCAGAGAAGTACTGGTAGTTCCTGCCGAGCTCCCGCTTGACTGCCTCCTTAGTAGCTTCTTTGCGGGCTATTCTGGGTGACGACTCGGCAGAGGTGAGTTTCTCGTGTCCTTGATGGGGTCGTATTTGGGCTGAGCGTCCGTCGCGACTGGACAACATGAAGCTGGAACCGAAAGAGCGGGGCGATTTGCTGGGCGTTGGGAGCTTGCCGGGATCGTGGCCATGAACATTGGAGAGATCCAGGTGCTGAGGCCTGGGTCGCTGCAGGGGAGTGATGCTCTCGCCTCGACTGCGCACTGTTTCTGCGCCCGTGGGCGTGGTGTTGGCTGTGGTGCGGTCGGGCATGTCTCTATCGGTGATGTCGGTGCCGCGCGACGGCGGAGGCTGCGGGTCCAGCTCGTGATGGAGGCCCAGGGTTGGGGCGCCGTGCCGAATTGTTTGCGTAGAGCCTGTACTCTGGCGGTACGGATTGCTGCCCGTTTCGTGTGTAGCGTCGGAATAGAGCGAGCCGTGGCCGAGGAGGGAATTGGGGCGCTGGTTGCGTTGTTGTTGAAGACGCTGCGAGCTCATGGGGCGAAAGAAGCCGTGGGCTGCCAGCGGAACATGGGTTCTACTGGCAGACGTGGTTGGGCGGCTGTGTCCTAGACTGCCGGCGACGCTCATGCCGCCGCCTCGTCGTGCAGGGCTGGCCTGGGACCATCTGTTCTGGCTGCCCGAATTGGCAGTCGCAATCGACGACGGTCGCGAGGGTGGCAGGCCGGGCTCGCCTGCTGGGCCCGTCATGCCCAACACGCGACTGCCAGTCGAGCTGCGCTTCTGTTCGGACGGCGTCATGGCCATGGTGATGTGGTTGCGGGCGCGATTACACTCTCGGCACGCAGCATGACATCAAAGAGCTGAGGGTGTGGCTGGAGGGAAGTCACGGCTTGTGCAGCGCGTGGTCGCGACGAATACGGGGAGCGCGGATGGGCGAGGATGGCGACCGGCAGGGGAAGGAGCGACTGGAAGTGAGTGAATGGAAGGGCTGCGGCGCCGAAAGGCTAATGGAACGATGGACAAGACGTGTGATTGCGCTGAAAGGGGCGCATAAAGTTGATGCTCGACCCTTCGACGTTGCCCGGCGCACTGCAAGGTCCGCCTGACTGTTTCCGGCATGGCCGTCGCTGTGACGCAGCCGCCAAGCTTGGCGTCCGCGAGATTCAACATCGAACCACTGCTCCGCGCTGCACGCATCCCATAGCTCGCATCCCGTCCACGCCACTCACCCCCCATCATGTCCTCCATCATTGCCCGCTCCGCCTTCCGCGCCGCCCCGCGTGTCCGTCCTACGCCTGCTCTTCGACGATGGGCCAGCGCCGCCGCTGAGGGCGAGAGACAGGCCGGCAAGGACGCCCTCAAGACCGGAGCGAAGCGCGACCCTGAGCTCTATGTAGGATGCGACACGTCAATTGGACAATACAGGGCGCATAGCTGATTCGTCTACAGGTTCTGTTCGCTATCATGAGCGGTGTTTTCGGTCTGGCAGGATGGCACTTCTGTATGTTCCCGGATACATCGATTCTGCCTCGTGCGCCCGTCTTCACATGCTGACAATTGCAAGCCCGCTCTCCTACCAGTGCTTCTTCGGAACGAGCTGTCGCCAAGGCCGCAGGCAGTGAGCCTTGGAAGCAGGATGGTGGTGTAGGCCCATACCAGTACCACCCCGGAGGTGACACCAGCGTCAAGAAGGATGCGCCTTCTGCGCTTAATGTGGTCGTCATTCCCAACGTCACTCTCCCCAAGGTAAGCTGACGCCCTTGATTACCAGCATCAGACTGTATTGACGAGCGTAGGAACTCCATGACACATACAACAAGTGGGGCAAGGACGGCTACTAGACACGCAAACTGACATCAACTACCCAATTTCCAATCAGAACCTCATGGCAGCAGAGTGCGAGATTTTTCCTTCAGTTATGCGTCTGTACATAAGACCTATTGCGCAGATGAAATAAGTTCTCTACAATGTCCTCACACAGATTGGTGCCGCACAGTTCTGGTCTGCCTAACAACGCGACAGCAAAATCAATGCGGACTTGAATGATAAGAAACCCCTCAAGCACCACGGTGATTTCCGGTAGACTTTTTGTATATATACACGTCCGACTCAAGTAATGCTAGGGAAACCACTATTCATCCGACTGGAAGGATCAACGTCGTGTCCGTCCTAGGTCGAGGTACACATGCTTTTGTTCTTCTAGACTCTCTCCAAATTTGGTCCTTGCGAATGGCACTGTGAACCCCGGGTAGGGGAGCTTGTAGAATGTAGTCTATGGGTATCTATAAGTGCACTGTCAGTCTGGAAGTCCGCCCGCCAACTGCAATCAAGCTGCGCTTGGTAGTCGCTTCCGAATCTCGGCAATCATATCAGTCCTGTTCACCAGTACACCGTCTTTCTCGGGGTCGTTGTCGTCTTTGATTCCCAGGACCTTAATCTTGACCTTGCCGTCTTTGAGCTCATCCTCACCAAGGATGACGAGGAGCGGGACACCGGCCACCTCAGCTTGTTTGAATTGCTGAGGGAGTTTCGGCTTCAGTTTGTACGAGAACTCAGCCTTGATGCCTGCAGCCCATAGCTCTTGAGCGACTTGCATACGTTCTGTCAACAGGCCGGTGAAGCCTTTACCACCAAAGGCTGCGACGAAGGCATCGACATCTTTGGCACGCTGTGTCGACTGGCCGCGGGCTTTCATGATGCTAATGATTCGATCGATGCCGAAAGATATGCCAACGCAGGGAATAGGCTTGCCACTGAACATGCCCACGAGCCCGTCGTAACGACCACCGGCGGCGACACTTCCTACGCCGATTTCTTGCTGCTGACCTTTTACGCGCGGTGCTGAGCCTTCTGTAACTACCTCGTAGATGAGCCCAGTGTAGTAGTCTAGACCTCTGGCGAGTGAGAGATCGAAAGAGATCCTCTTGCGGGCACCAAAAGCATCGAGGTATGAGAAGAGCTGTTCCATCTCCCGAACACCCTGGCTGACATCTTCCGATTGAGAAAGGGTCTCGTTTGTCTTGAGATAGTCGATGATGTCGTCGCCGCCTTTGCGCTGCACCCATTCACCAATCTTATCCGCGATGTCTGCTGGCAGTCCCTTGGTCTCCATTTCTTGCTTGACCTCTGACCATGGTAGCTGCAGCATGTTAGTAATTGGCAGAGACATGGAGATGTTCAGCTCACCTTGTCTAGTTTGTCCACAGCAGAGCTGATCGGCCTTATCAGTTCTGCCTTGACGCCAGCAGCCTTGAACATGCCGTCTAGAATCTTCCTGTGATTTATCTTGATCGTGTACGAGTCCCACTTGAGCGCATCGAAGACGTCGGTCGCAATCTTGAGTACCTCGGCATCTGGAATCATGGCGTCGTAGGAACCCGCGATATCGAAGTCGCATTGGTAAAACTCTCGCATGCGACCCTTGGTCATGGCTGGTTGGTCGCGGCGGTACACCTTAGCGATTTGGTATCTCTTGAAACTCTGGACGCTAGGGTTCATGGCGAGCCATCGTGCAAGTGGAACGGTGAGATCGTAGCGCAGTGAGCAGAGCTCGCCGCCTTGATCCTGCAGATCGTATATCAACTTTGAGTCTTCTCCATATTTACCGCTGAGGATCTCTTTGAGTTCGAAGACGGGCGTGTCGAGTGTCGTAGCGCCGTGGCGCTTGAAAACTTCCGTTACCGTTTGGAACAGGTTGTCGCGAAGTGCGGCATCCTCGCCAGTCCCTGACATAGTTAGCGAGTCGTTTGGGCGCAATGTGGGCAAAATGTACAGTCGCGTGTGCCCTTTGGCACCTTCAGGTTGAACGATTTGTTCTTGTCTTCTTTGCCCATGTCGTCGTCGAAGCCCAAGGGCGAAGTTTGCGTAGAGAAGCGGCGGCGGGGTGCAAGAATGTAGGTTCGGATAGATGTTCGGCTGACTTTACGGTATGCGAAGGTATATCGGAGGGCGTCCTGGAAGAGCGCGGGGCAGACAAAGTGGGGTGAAATGCGCTGCATGGACCTGGAAAGTGACTCAATCGCCCAAGAGCAAGCGCGCGTGTGCAAAGAATCGTTCTACTCCGCGACTTGGCCCGTGCATCTTCACACCGACGTCACTGCGGTAGCCAAAATATAGTCACAGGATTACAACGAATAAATTGATGCATGGGTTTCTAGTCATCGCGCTGTGTGCAACTACCAGAGCAGTCGAAATTTCAGCAGATCTCTTTGTCCATAGCACTCGGCTACAACTGTCAGAATCATGTCGATGGCTGCCTTCGTGTTCCAGTCACTCTCGGACAATGGGGTAATGGACTGCGGTTTGGCCTGCGTCGGCTCGGAAACTGGCGCCAATTTGGTGGCACTCGCAGTTTGCTGCAGCTCTCCTCGGCGTATTTCTTGTCGCTGCCTCTCAGCCTCGACCCTTGAAAGGTGATGATGGACTTGCATTGGGGGCGTATGAGGCAGAGGCACTTGTGAATGTACCAAGCGGTCTCCGAGTTGCGCAAGAAGACGCGCTCGAGCTTCCTCAAGACCTCCATCTTCCGGAATGCTTTCTGATTCAACTTCATCCTCAGACATGATCATCTCTGCGTCAGAATCATCCGTCTCTTCAATGACTGTGTTTTGGCTGAGTACGGCATTGTCATTTCTGAAGGACGTCGTGTCTAATCCGTTGTCTTTCTCATCCGAAACATCGCGCAGAGTTTGTGTGACTGTCGGCGCGAGATGTCTCGTGTCGTGAGCTCCATGTGTCTGTTCTCTGGGATCGGTCTCTGGGACCTCGGGACTAGTGCACTCGCCTTCTTGTGCATCACACGTCAATGTTCTGTTGTCTGCGTAGAGTCGGCCCACTAGCCGGCCTGCGCTGAGCCCCAAGTCTCGAATTCTGCTCACACGCTCATGATCCAAAGTACCGAAATCTCCAACTAGGGCCAACAAGGTCCATATCCAGCTGCTCTTCTCCCGGGATATCTTAGCTGATCGACCCAATGCTAACGTGCAGCCTTGTAGAGCCATATACAGCGTCGACTCGTCAATGTGCATGATTTCTTGGAGAATCGGTAAGTCCTTCTCTATGGTTTCCGACCATTTCTGCTTTCCAAACTTCTCTACTTTTGCGCGGCTCGCTGCTGTGTCTGGTAGTCGTCCATACCTCCGCATTTCGGCGAGTTTCTTGCGAAGGTTTCGAAAGCGCTGGAGGAGAGCATTGGTGCAAGCTTCCTGTGGATCAAGGGCGAACGGGTCTGTTTCCCACTTGGCAGCGTTGTACTCCCAATCCACGGCAATCCAGGTTCCTTCCCTGTATATGACGCGTTGAGTATCCATCGGGCTTCTGTATTGCGATTCGTCATGGTCTGAGTCGAGTTTGCCAGCGTTGACATTGTTTGGGGCTACGAGTAGAGTGGGAATCGCCGATGCTTCAGACCTAGGCCTCATGTATAAGCGATGCACTTGATAATGCTCTCATGTGAGGGGAGTGCAAAAGATGAAGTAAGCACTCACCGGACACCGTGAAGGTAGGCCAACGCTTCGCTTGTGGTCTCGTCGGATGACTGCTCTTCACCGTCGAGTCCTGGTAGCACCGTCCGTGTCCCATACTCTTGGTACGAATCTACAGCGCGCGGCCGGTTTTTTGGGTGCGCTGTGATGCGCGCGATCCTCGCGCGCTTAACACCAACGGCCTCTTCTTGCGCGCACTTTCTTTTGCTGCCGTATGCAGTCGGGGACGCTGTCGAGGAGGATATGGAGGGCGGCTGCGTCGACATAAGGTAACCATCGGGCCGCTGTAGTTTGTTGTAGCTCTCACCGTCTTTAGTAACAGCCAAATTTACCCCCACGGTTGACATGTTTGCGTTGGAGGTTGTAGAGTCCTGGCTCCGGTTGATGAGTGATTGCGGAGACGCGCTCGGGGGTGATCTACATCGGTCTAGCGTGGCTCACGCTGGCACCACACATATATGCGGGCCGGCACAATCAATCTCAGGAACCTTGAAATGCGGAAGGTACATATTTAAGTATCTGAAGTTGAGGTTGATAATGTGTGGTGTATTTCACTGCACTATAGTTACGTGATGTCGTGCTCCTCGTAAAGCTACTCAGCCAACAGCTCTAACATCTAGATATGATGATGAGTTCCTGCGGGCGTACGCAAAGATCCCCAAACAAAGGAATTTATAGTGGGATTAATCCCATCAACCCTTTCCATCTCCCCTTGTGGTTGAGACCCAGTAGCCTGATCGTCATTGTCCCTTCCGTTCGATGTTTTCTTCTACTGGCTGGTAGGGGTACTTGATCGTGAGACACCAGATGTCTAAATAATCGCAGATCGTCCAAATAACATCCACGATGAAGCTTCCATGCACACCGACAGCAAGACCTAGACACATGAACACAAAGGCAACCTGATAAACATCGTTGCCCAAGGCACTTGGCCAGCCGACACCAATGTGCTCCTGTAGCCATGGCCCGAGCGAATCGATCACTCCGTAGATGAGAGGGTACATCAGTACGTTGCCTCGAGGAAATCGGGATTTCGTAAGGTGAGAGATGATCATGCGACCCACCGAGTACGCGTTGATGAGACCAGCGTAGAAGATGAACGGAACCAGATGGTGATGCAAGATCATAGGTTGCAGGTACAAGTACGCCGTGATGAGGACCCAAGCCGCCCCGAAGGTAAGAAGACCCAGGAGAGCGACTCGCGCCTTTTGACCACGGGCACGACGCGCCTTCATTACATTTTGCGCGCTGTGTCATTGTCAGCCTACTGTCTCGTACAATGGCATGCGTTCATACCTCGAAACAGTGTTAAACACGAGCACAACTCCTCCATAGACCATATACCATTCGTTCCATGCCAAATTGTACAGCACTTCTGGAATGAATCCATGCTCTTTCACTCCGAGACTTTGGATCATGGAGCGTTGCCAGAAGCTACCTCCACCAAGGTAGGCCGTTGAGGCATACACTATGCACAAGGTTATGATACCCTCGACTGGCCCAGAGATAACACCAAGAGTCAGTGTATGGGTATGATACTCATCCCAGGTCTGCACGTAGAATGTCAGAGATGCTGCAGTAGTTAGCAAGATAAGATGCAAAGCAAGTAGTGTCAAGGTGCTGGCTTACATGCAAAGAGCGTGAGGACTGTCTTCCAGCCTTGGCCAAGATTCATTGTCGCAGAGAACAACAATACTTCCAGTGTCGTATTGATCGCATCGACTCCATGATCGAACAGCTCGCCTAGAGGACCGCTCTGGCGAGTCCTGCGGGCCTGACTCCCATCCACAGCATCAAATGTTTGGTAGAGGAACAGTCCGATGGCCCAGCTGGCGTACACCCAAGGCGGACAATCTTGATCAAGGGTCGGTGTATACCAGAGTAAGGTGAGGAAGTTGACTATGATGAACCCGAACCCAGAGAGTGTTATCTACAGCATCATGTAAGTAAGGACGAAGCTCTTGCGGCGGGGTTCGACATATAAAATCTTTTTTTTTATGCCAAACTTACAAGGTTGGGTCTAAGACATGTTAGTATTGCTTTGTATGAGATTTTGGAAATACTCACGCCATCCACATAGGAAAGCATTTGATGACCACATGAGAGTAGAAAGGCTTGAGGACATATTGTGAAAGCAAGCTGTGATCCACGCCAGAGTACTTGTACTCCCTGAGCTTTGGTAGCTTATCCTGTCGTATGTACACCATGGTGTGTTATTCGCTTAGTACCAGCAACTGTTGGCGAGTTGTTGTGGGGTTCTGGCAGCGAAAGTGATTCCGGCGGCACTTGTTGCTATGTGGTGGTGTGCCAAGCGCAAAATCTTATGACGTAGCGACCCGTCCGCCCGCCGGTTTTGGCGACATCTTAGCGTCGAAACGGTATGTCAGGTACGATCGCTACCTCGGCGTGCACAACGAATGAGATGAATCATCATATTCTACGAATGTGTATCTGACATTGATGCAGCCCCTCGCAACTTCGCACCACTTAGACGCTGGAGGCTTGATGGCTCCACTAGCGATACTTGCCTCATTCTGGAACATTGTGATCGATCTTGCTCATATACATGATACAGCAGACATGACACCCTCTCACTGTAAGCAGCGCACAGTGCCATTTACTTGGTCGTACACCAAATGAGTGGCTTGATCGGTGCAATCGAAGCTTATGCAACAGTGCTCCAGGAGCAAGGAATCAAGATCCTGCTCCTCATGGTCTGGATGAGCGGCACGGTCTTGTGCACTGTCTCGCCCCAGCCTTCCACACTCCAGCTCTGTTCACGACGGACCTTGCGTTCCTCCAGGTTGGCGAATTGCCACAGATGGTGTACTGTGTTCAGATCACCGATCTGGACGAACCAAGCACCCACACCCTCCATGACTTCCCGCCTGGCCTTCAAGCCACGTCGCCAATGTGTCTCCCACTCGAGCAAATTGCCAGGATGTAGTGTGTACGAGCGCAATTCGAACAAGCCACCGAGCTGGCGTGGGGGTGTCGTAGGCCAGAAGGAGAACTCTTGCATTAGGGAGTTGTGCTTGGATTTGATCAAGGTCTTGAGTTTGGCATCGAACGCAGGGAACTCTGGATGGGATTGGATGTTGTGTAGCGATTCGTGGTAACCCTCGTAGCGTTGGTACTCCCAGATATGTACTTTGGTGCATAGTCAGCATCGTTGAGAGAGATGCGAGCGTTGGAGCGAGTTGCAGACTTACCAAAGGTGTTGCAATCTCCCACTTCAGTCCTCCAGCTACCTACAAGATGGACCTTGTTCTCGGGAATGGACGCCATCTTTGGGTACCAGCTTCCAACCAACTCGGTGTACTCTTCGACCTTGTCTTGCAGTACCTCGTGGAATACAATGGAGTGGACGTATTTGCCGCGAGCTAAGACCTGAGAAAAGCTGCGCTCAATGTCCTTGTCGAGTTCGCGGCCCTCGGGCGTGCCGTAGATGAGAGATGATAGCGCACCGCCCTTCTTCTTGCCGTTTTCTTGCTCACGGGCGCGGGCATCTTCTGTAGTTACTCACGTTAGCGCTCTTGGGTAATTCAGATTGGGCGACGTGCAACGGACTCTCTTCCTGTTCCTTTCGCTTCTGAGCAGCTACCAGACCGTCGCGGAAGCTCTTCTGCTTCTCGTTGAAGCTGGCAGCACTATCGGGTGTGATGTCGGCGAGGGTAGGAGCTCTAGCCGGGCTTTGTGTTGGAGCGCCAGCACTGAAGGCCTGAGAGCGGACGGCGGTGGCACACGGCGGGGAGAGGATGCCGCGCACACTGGCACAAACACGGCGTGTGAGCATGATGGTACTGTCGGGACCGGAGCTGGAGGGTGAGGTCAATTTGCACACCAACGCCGACAGCGTGTATGGAGTGGAGTAGTGGTGGTGTTTGTGTCGGTTTGGGCGGGCTACAGCACACCTGGGCAGCTTCCCCTCAATCAGCCTACTGGAGCTGTCCCTGTCAAGCTCACTAGCGTCCCGCTGCCTAGGTATCCGCCCGGGGCACTGGGGTAAGCGCGCCCCACTGCAAACCTCACCAACCTCCGTCACGCGTCTACATTGCTCTACTGGAAGCGTTGCAACGCTGTTTACATTTCAATGTAGCGCAGAACACTTTCATCGCGTCTTCAGGCCAACATCCAGATCCATGGTCGTATTCTTTGCATCTAATCTGTTGACATGATCGTAGAGGCCCAAGATGTACCACGAGACTAGAAAGAGACCATTTGGATCAATTCACTTCTAAACCTCGACCTCGAACTTCGCTGTCCCTGACTGCTCCATCCCTGCGTGTGGCTATTCATACCCCTTAGCGAGCAGCGAGCAGCGACCATGCCTTCTTATGATGTAGCTTAGTCCCTGCTTCTCTCGTACTCTACCATAATCATACACAAAGTGCTGTTCACGAATGCGGTAGCCGTCCCGCACAAGCGGAGCCCGCATTGGATTAGACATTGAACACCTAGAGGGTAATAGGAAACGTGATTTGAGATTGCAAGAACATGACAGACATGAGCCCCTGCCCAGGCAAGATAGTTGTTCAGTCCTCGTCAAATATCTGGAGCACGTTGTCAAGAATGGTAATGATTACGCGGGCTTGCAGACCGGCATCGGCCATATTGTTGCCTTTATGAGGACCCATTATGGACGGCCTATACGAGGTTAGTCGATACATAGATTCGGTCGAGTGATGACTTACGCCCAACAGATACCCAGATTTGCGGTGCTCATGCGGTTAACCTCGGAGGATTGCTGCACACGATGCAGATGCAAAACAAGGGCACGAAGTGTCGCATAATTCGGATCGGGCAAAGCATTGATTAGCGCGTGCATGGAATCACGTCGCATGGTCTCGTCATCGATGCGTGCAGCATCGATATACTTGCCGTAGAATTCGCGGGTGAGCAGTGGATCCGGAAGCTCGCGGAAGAATTGTTTCAGCAAACCAGCCACACTGTTGACGTCGTGCTGAAACGACTCTGGGTTGCGGAAATCTACTTGGGAAGCGTCTGTATAGCGTTAGTCGCCCGCATTGACTAATTCTCATAATCACCTACCACTGTCAAAGAGAGCTTTCATTTGCTGGATATGCGACGAGGTTCCAGGGATCCGATAGATGCCCTCTACTTCCAGTCCGTATAGATCCACAGCCTGAATACACTGATAGACTACCATGGGTACGGGTGAGCCATCTCGGTGGAACAGGTCTTCCAGAGTGACGCCAAAGACGGGATTGACCGGGGGTTGGGCGTTGTTGTAAAGAATTCCGCTAGTCTGCTGTGCCGTAGCCTGACCGACAGATCCACGAGGATAGTCTGACTGTGGGTAAGGCGTGGGCCCCACGGGTGAGTAGGGCGAGTTGCTGAACTGCGGCGCTTGCGAAGGCTGTGGTTGCGATTGCAACGACGAAGGTGGCAGCTGTGCAGGACCCCCAAACGAGGGCTCGAGACTGGAAGGGCCCTGAGGCGATAGAGGGTTGGCATCTGGCTGCGGCATGGGGAAAGAGGGCGGCGGCTGACTCTGCAGCTGCATGGAGGTACGTCGGTTAGTACTCGCAGCAGCAGGTGGTGTTGGATGTGACCGCGTCTGCGCCTGTGTCGGATGCTTCAGGTACTGTAGCTCTGATTTGGTGATGGGTGCTTTGGAGGCATGGCTCAAAATATATTCGTCAAAGTCGCGCTCATTGTTGATCTGGTAGATGAGCTGGTTGATGCTGGACGGGGCCTGAGTAGTCGCGCCCTTGGGTGGCTGTGGACTGACGACCTGGCCATTGTTGACGACAAGTTTCTCGTTGAACGAGGCTATGACAGCGTCAGTCGAAGCTGACGCGGGCAGCAGGTGGACTTACCGTATTTCTGCATTTCCATAGTCAGAGCAGCGTCGGTTTCCTTGATGAGATCCAGCAGCGCAGAGACAGCCTGGGGCCGCAGAGTCGCGACGAGCTCTTTGCGGGAGACCTGTGCCGTCTGGACTTTGCTGGCATAGTCCTGATCTGCCGCCTGGGTCTTGCGCTGGAGGTCCTCCTCGTGCTGGGCGGCTGACTTGGGCCCTTTCAAGCCAAACTTCCTGCCCGCACCTGTGTCGCCTGTCTTGACCCGGTCAAGGTCTTCGGCGAGCTGGTCGTACTTGGCCTTGGCCTTCTCGGCCAGCCGTTCGGCGTCTTGAACCTTGTTCTCTGCCGAGAGCCCCTGCTGCTTCCAAGTTTTGCGGCTTGTATCCATCTTGTTGGCCAGCTGTAGCAGGTTCTCGTGCATGGCGTGTAGGGCAAGGCCGAACTGGGTGCCATTGTCGGCGATGCGCTCGTTTGCGTGGAGGACCTGCTCGAACTGCGTCTGGTAGCTCTCGTGCCGCGTGTCAGGCTTCCGCACGCCGTCGAGCGTCAGACGGCTTAGTTTCTTGAGGCTGCCGGCGTGCTCTTCCTCGAGAGCTCCCCGGCGTTTGAGAAAGCTGGCGAAGTCCTGCCCAGCGTGTTAGCCGTCGGAATGCACAAGAGCCCGGCTTCGTGGCCACTGACTCTGGCGCTCGCAATGCTGGCCTTGAGGCGGTTCAGCAGGGTGGAGACGCCCACGTCTGAGTGCAACATGTCTTGCACGCGCTGCTGCGTCTGCGCGTTGGGGGGTGCGCTCCCTTGGTCAGGCGATGTGGGAGTCGCTTCATCCATGGGCGAGGCGGGGGCACCATCATGCGTGGGCGACGATACGCTGTTCGGGTCGGCATGGACGCTGTCAGTGCCCTCCATAGGCGGGATTGCATTCGGGGCAGCCATCGCAGACGCGGCTGTTGTGGCAGGAGGTAATGGCTGCGTCGCCGGGTCGCCGTCGGAATGCGCAATGCCGCGCGCTTCGGCGGAGGCGGAGATGCTGCACGGACAAGCTCCACGCAACGTCATCCTTCCCGCCGTCAAGTTCTGCCAACCGTCCTCACGCGCCTGATCAAGCACGGCAGCACCGTCCACCTTTCGCAGCCTGCCTCTCTTGACTCACGTCTTCACCCCCCTCTTGATCCCTCTCGCCATGTCTAGCGGCTTACCGGATGAGGTGGTGACCTGCCTCCAGAATGCCCGCTTTGTGAGTCCTTCCAAACACTTTTATCTTGTCTCATCTCATTCTTCCATCGGGATCACATTCCAACACACGTCGCATGCTTACATGACCCCTCCTCGCTTGTTTCGAGCAGTTCATTTCCCCCCAAACCCTTCCTACCAAGTGTCGT